GAAAAGGTCGCCTTAACAAGGTGTATGTGTGCATTTTCGTTTGTTTTGTTACCAAAGCTTGTCATCTTGAGTTGGTAACAGACCTGTCTAGTCAAGCATTTATTGCAACCTTAAAGCGTTTTTTTCAGCAGGAGAGGCAAGTGTGCACGCATATTTTCAGATAACGCAACCAATTTTGTTGGTAGTAACGCAGAATTAAAGAAATTGAATAGGCTAGTCAGCAAACCAGATGATGAATTAGGTAATTATTTATCGAGTGAGAGTATTGATTGGTCGTTCATTCCCCCTAGAGCTCCCAATCATGGAGGTCTTTGGGAGGCAGGTGTCAAATCTGTTAAGTTTCATTTGAAACGCGTAGTAGGCAATTTGAAACTAACCTATGAGGAGTTTCTTACAGTAATTGCTCAAATTGAAGGCATTTTGAATTCTAGGCCCTTGCAACCTTTATCATCCGAACCAGAGGATTTTGATATCTTGACACCAGGCCACTTCCTGATAGGCAGACCTATCACGGCTATTGCAGAACCTAATATTTTAAACGTTAACGATAATAGATTAAAGAGCTGGCAAAAATTGACTAAAATAGTGCAAACAATTTGGAAGTATTGGAGAAATAACTATTTGAGTGCAATGCAAGGAAGAACTAAATGGTTCTTTGAAAAAGACAATGTCAAGGTTGGAACTATGGTAATTTTAAAGACTGATAATGTTCCTGTATGTAACTGGCCTCTTGGCAGAATCGTAGAGATATTCTTAGGTAAAGACAATAAGGTTAGAGTAGTTTCAGTGAAAACGAAAGGAGGTATTTTTAAGCGATCAATTAATAAAATTTGTCTTTTACCTATGCCAAATTAAACAAAAAGTATGTTTGTAATTAATTATTGTATTTTCTTATTATAGTAGTTTGATTTTGTTGATGTTATTATTTTGATGTTTACAATTATTTACCTGTATTTCGTATTGTCACTCTGTGTAATTTTTTATTGTAAGATTTAATTTTGAATGATTACATCATGTCAAGGCGGGCGGTATGTTGCGCCTGCGCGCGCATTTCATTACTAGCGTCGGCGCATGCGTCTTGAGCTCTTGGAGTTTGTGACATGAGATTGTGAGCTAAGAGCGTGTGAGAGAATTCGTGGCTTCGAGTGGCCATGAACTATGTAAATTAATGAGAATTAAAGTGAGATATAATACAGTCTATTGTTCCTGAGTTTATTGAATTATAGTGTAGTGCCTGTGCAAAACACCCACTCCACCCCACCCGAAAAAAGACCGCATGAGCAAATCGAAAATGAAATTGATGTTGATCATCTGTTTTGACTGCAAAGGAATGGTTTACAGAGAGTTTGTACTGCCTGGTCAGACTGTGAATGCTGCATTTTATGTGGAAGTACTTGAAAGACTCAAAAAAAAAGAGTCTCCCCAGTCCCTCCAGCAATTGCTGGATCGGGGAGGCTCCGGCATTGACAGTGTGCTGAGCCGACTATCTTTGCTGCCATGAACTTTCTGACCAAACATGGCATCACACAGCTTCCCCAGATGCCACTCCTTCAGACTTCTTCCTTTTCCCCTGACTGAAAAGGGTCATGAAAGGACGGCACCACGGCTCGTCCTGGCCGTTCAAGAGGCCGTAACGAGGGAGCTGAAGAGCATTCCATTTCTGCCTTTCAGGAAGCCTTCAGTGATTAACAAAGTCACTAGAAACACTATGTTGATGCAGAAGGGGATTATTTTGAAAATCATTAAGTCAATGTGTCAAAACTGAATAAAATTTATTTAAAAAATTCAGTCCTACTACAGTCGAACAAATCCTATATATAGTTTGAAAAAACTAATTTTATACAGGGTGGCTAAAAATTATCATCTGTATTCAATCATGACAGTCATTAACTAAAATATATTAAATTGATTTGTGTATAATATGCAGAATAATAAATTATATATTTGATGAATTTTTAAATAATCTTACATGATTTAACTTACCTACATTGCCATAAAAATTTGTGTACCAAGAAAGAGTTGTCAGAATCGAATGAAATTATATAAAAATCAATGCAATTTTAGTATAAGTAAGTGATTACAAAATCAAAGCAAAGTATCATTTTACTACAGTCAAAAGTCGTTAATTCGGCCACCCATAATCCGGAATGATCTATAATCCGGACCTCAAAGCTAAAATCTTTCTACGCATGCGCATAGGCGTTTACGCGTGCGCGCAAGACCTTTACGACTTGCATATGCGTCTACGCAAGCGTAGAATACGTTTTCGCGTGCGCGTTTAATAACGGACGGTATAAGTTAAAATTATCTAATTATCTATTACAGTTAATGTTGATGATTGCGTTTTTCCTTAATCTTCGAATTGGATCCGGCTTATTATTTTTTGCAGACTGTAAGAGCAATTTTATAAAAGTAAGCTTGAACTTTCAATTATGTCAAATAGAATTTCCGATGTTGGAGCTCCCAAAGGATCTACAAAACGAAAGTATGTTTCGATGTCCATCAAACAAAAAGTGGAATTGCTACAAAAAATGCATAAAGACATATCCTTTGTTTATCTAACCGTTCTGAAATCTGTTTATCAATTTCACGCTGCTCTGCGCGGGGGGGGGGGACGTCGCGGCGAGCAATGAACTGGAAGTTGATCTGTCAGCACTATCGTTATCTTCAGGGCAGATGTTTTTATTTTAGTCGGCTTATAATTCCTTACTAAATGTTGTATTTCATCTCGATCTACTCCGTCTTTGATATGATTTAAATCAAATTTCTCGTCATTATAAATATCACGAATACAAATCAAATAGTTTTCTGGTTGCAATTTTCTAATTTCGACTATGCTTAATGTATGCTTTACGCATGCGCGCGTTGAAAGAAATGTTTAATAAAGTAAACAAATAAATATTAAGCTTCTTTTTTTGTAAATTTTGATACCCTTTAGATCATAATTGCTCATTATTTTATAAATTACGGTTTCATATTTTTAATTTTATAATTTCCGCATGCGATCTTACCAGATTTGAACTGATGATCTATAATCCGGAGAAATCGATAATCCGGAATCGCCGAACTCCCGACGAGTCCGGATTAAAGACTTTTGACTGTACAGGAAAAATTACAAATGAATAGAGCTTGTTGTATCTTGTTAGGCCACCTCTAGTATGAATACACAATGCAATATGGGTGAGCACTGAGGCATACATATTCTATGTGGTTTCCTACATCATCTCATTCCACATTCGCTCTAAACATATCTCTAGTTCAACCAAATTCTTAAGCTGTTTATCTTGCCATCCCATGTGATCCAAAGCATGCTGAATCGATGACAAATCTGGGAATTGGGTAGGCCAGGGAATTGTGGTAATGTGGCAGAGGCATTCATATGTCATCCTTGTTGTGTGAAACCAAACACTGTGCTGTTGAAAAATGGTTGCTGTGGATCTTGCCATGAGTGGCAACATGTGTAGCTGAAGGATATTATGAACATTTTGCTGTGTGTGTCAAAGTACCATGGATCAGCATTAAATATGACCAGATCTCATATGCAATGGCACTCCATATAATCACATCAACTGTGGGAGTGGTGTACCACTGTAAAGTGAAGGCAAGATTGGGGTGTTTGGGTGGTTTTTCTAAGTGGGTTTTCATACATCACACATCTGAGTGGGTTTCCACCACATGTAACATAGTTGTCATCACTGTCCAAACTGAATCTTATTTCATTGCTGTAGACAACCTGGTTCCATTTGGTTGCTGTCCAATCCTATCAGGCATGACACTACTCAGATGGAGGCAGTGGAGGGTGTCATTAGTAGCACATATAGTTGATGCCTTAATCTCAAATGTTCTTCAGCCAGTCATCTCATAATAGTATGGACAGACGGAGGGTGCCATATTGAAAGTACTGCTTGTGTCCACATTATGAACAGTGATAAACTTGTTGCATATTTATGTTGGATCATGAGTATATATGTGTCAAGTATCCTGGCTTATTTTAATCAGTTCCATCTATAGAATAATGATAAATGCTTAATTTGTGGTAAGTTTGGGGACGCCAGGCACTTCGTCAATGAATGTACGCTTACCCGGAGTGCAAGAGAGAAATATAGAAAGAATTTTAAGGAAGATTTTAAAAAGAACCATTCAAATTTGAAAGTTTTTGCAAAGCCAATAATGAAAATTATAAATACGAACAAAGAATTGGAATTCGGCACTGAGATTCAGATTTTGGACTGAGATTCAGATATGGATTTTTTTTTGGGGGGGGGGCTTGTATTTGTGGTTTTTTTTTTTTTTTTTTTTTTTTTTTTTTTTTTTTTTTTTTTTTTTTTTTTTTTGGCCAGTCCCATTTTTTTTTCGTATGGCCAGCTAGGAGGATCGGAGCTGTGCCCTTATAATAATAATAATAATGTGTCGAGTATTGTCTTCTTGGATTATTGGTCTGCAGAGGGCATCCTGAACTTGGCTGCTATGTATGCAACCTCTCTCTTATTCACTGGTGCCAACACCTTCTCGCATTAAAGTCACAACAGCCTGAATAGTTGGTTCACCAGACTAACCGCCTGACTTCCATCATCCCATTAATTCTTCTTTGCTTGAACTCTGACAGCTGATCATATTGTCTTTAATGGCAGTGTAATGACATCCCTAGTCATCCCTCTCTAGAACGGAGAGATCCTTCAGCATCCCTCTGTAATAGATTAAGTGTGGGCTAAATGCTTCTGTGTACCTTTTTTTATGCACTAGGGAGAATGAAGTTCAGCGTCAATAGGAGTAAATATGCATTGTACAATCACACTGTGTTTCAGATCATTTGCATGTCTGCTTGACCAAGTTTTATTATACCAAGATCTTCATACCATGTTTTATTATAATTTGATGATTACTTTTTGTTGCATAAATTTGTATGGCAATGAGTTTATATAAATACAAAAATAAAAATATTAATCATACAAAAAAACTTCCTCCTTCAATTTTTTTCCTTGTTTAAATTTTCTTTGCAGATGTTGAAGGGTCAATGAAACCGGATCGGCATAAAATAACTGCAACAATAGGTCTTGTGGTTCATGCTGCAGGTGTAAATTTTATTATACCTTCTTGTATTAATGTTAAAATAGTTAAACTGTTTATGTATTAATTGTAGTTTAATTACTTAAGTACTTTGTAGATTTTAATAAAGTAATATTCAAACTTAAACTATTGGTTTAATAAATTATATTACTCATAATTTTAGATGTAAGAAAAATTTTTAGACACTTTTTTTAATGTACTCTTTTTTAATTACAGTAATCTGTTATTAAAACTCAATAAAGCTCATTTATGCATTTGAAATATAACCATGAATGGTTTTAATAATAAAAAATTATTTCTTACGCATAATGAAGTATAATTAGTTTTAACCTTCACATTTTCTGTATATGTTTTCTCACTTTATAAAACTTAAAAAAAAAAAAAAAAAAAAAAAAAAAAAAAAAAAAAAGAAAAAGAAAATGAAAAACGTTTGTTATTCAGGCAATTTTCTGATTTTGGATGCAAAATATTTGTTGTCCTGGTGGATGAATCTCTCTTTGCAGGTTAAAAACTTTTAATCTTTTAAGGCTTAAATGAAAAGGCTTTTAGAAATAGAAGCAAAAATATGTTTGCAAAATGATTTATATGATTGCAAAAATATTTTAGTTATACAACTATGGTTGGTATTAATAATAAAAAATTATTTCTTGCACATAACTAAGCAAATATAATCTTAAACCTTCCCATTTTTTGTATATGTTTTATTTGCTTTGTAAAACGTAAAAAAGAAGTCTTCATTTTTTATTCACATTTCTTCTAGACAGATAATTCTCTGGTTTTTGATGCAAAATATTTTTCTGTTCTTTAGTAATTTAGTTTTTAATTTAAAAACAGGAACAAAAGTACTTTTCAAAATGGAAGGAGCGACACAATGGTTATACCAAAAGCAGTAAGCCGAACAAAATGAGCATGAACATAGTGCCATTTATTGAGGAAAATTAGTTTTGTGATATGTTAAAAACTATATAGAAATTTGAAGGCATTAGAAAGTACTAATTGGAATTAGTATAATTTACTAAAGAAGATAAACTTTTGAGAAGGTGAAAAGAAGCTAGAAGGAGATTCAGTTCATAAACTGAAGTAGATTTATAGATAGTTTTTGCAGAACTAAAGTCAAACGTGTGATAAGTGCCCAACTATCAAATATTTGTTTATATCTGTTTTTTGAACGTAAGATTTGTATTCCTTGATGCAACATTTTGCTGCTGTTTAATTCTAGATGATGTATGACAAACTACTCTGGCAAGATATGCTATAAATTCCCCAAGAATCAAAATCAAAGATGGGAGCTTTAAGAATAAGGCAAAAAATTTTTATTGATAGTTGAAAAAATTTATTTGAAAGTTGAACTTCTGGAGAATGTGAGATTTTTTAAATGACAGAAGGATGAAATAGGGTTATTAACTGCATATTATGGTTATTTCTGACAGTGTAATGTCTTTTTTGATGGTAAAACAAAAACTTTTTTTAAAGATTTGTCACTGATTGTGGGAGGAAATTATGGGATTCAAGAGAGAGCAAAAATTCTGGAGACCAGACCAAACTTTGAGAACGAAATATACACAAGAGTATAAGAGCATATTTTGCGAAGTAAGGATGTGATTTCCTATGGAGAGGCAAACAAAAAAATGGTTTGCAATAAACAGTAGTGTTGAAGTTAAATTAATTGTGGGTAATTAAAGTATAAAGGTGAGAAAGGAAATTATCTGCTTCAATTTCAGAAGTGAACTAGATGTATGAGTGAGTCTAATTCACAACAGACAAAATCTTAGTTAAATCTTTCATTATTACTACCAGAAGCATGAATATAGCAAACATTGAACATAGCAAATCCAGAGCCTGCAAAATAGTTTTTTGAATAATTCAACATCAAAATAGTGTATGTAATTGTTAGTAAGAAGTGAGAGGCTTATCCATAGGTAGTCCTTCAGGTTGGTGGTAGCAATTATTTTGGAAAATGAAGGTTTGACTTGAAGAAACTTCAGTGAAATAAATTGACTGCTGAATTTCAGTATGCTTGAAATGGAATTCTCAAATTCTGATTTCAAAGAGTTTTAATACTTCTTCAATAAGAGCATTAGTAAACAGAGATCTAATATCAAAAGCAACCACGAGTGTTCGGAAGAAATATCTAAGTTGTCAAAAGAATTGTTAATGATCTCAAAAGAAACTTTTACCATGTAAGTGTAGAAAGTAATTAGGAAAGTCTAGAAACCAAATATTTGGCGAAAATGTATAATATTGTTCATAAGTTGGAAACTAGAGGTGAAAAGGACTTCTAATTTTGTGAACTTTGGGAAGAGCATAAAACTTAGTATACTTAATAATAGGTAAAATGAGAAATTTTTTGAAACTGAGCTGGGAGTATATGAGAGAGCCTGATGGCTGTTTTACATTTTGAGAAGTTAAAAGCTGAAAGATCTTTAGGGTCAAATAGTATGGGCCTTCACATAGCTTGGATTCTCTATTAGTTCAATTTTCAAGCCATTTTGTTTTTTCATTTATTAGTAAATTTTTCGTTTGATTCTTAAAAATCCCATCTCTAATTTTAATTCTGGGGAGATTATAGCACATCTTGTCAATATGATTTATCATCCACTGGCCAAACTATAAGAACTTTAAAATTTTGCATCAAGGAACTCAGGTTTCATGTTTAAAAAGGTGAAATATCAAATATTTGATAGTTAATCATAATTGGACACTTGATCACAATTTTGACTTTGGGTCTGCAAATGTTATCGATAAAGTTTCTTCAGTCGATAAATTTGATTTCCTTGTAGCTTTTCACATTCTAAACAATTTATCTCTTTTAGTTAAGGGTGTTAATTCCAATACATTTCTTCCTAAAGCTTTCAGAATTCTAATGTTTTAATATTTCGTATTTCATTAATGTTTTCCTTGATAGATGGTACTATGTTCTTGCTTTCTTCTTTCTGTTGCTTTCAGTATAAAAATGGTCATCACTCTTTCACTTTGCAAAAGTTTTTTACATCTGAATAAGAATCCTTAAAATCTGTGCCAAACTAAGATTGCTTTTTTGTCTCATTTTAAATTTTACATTTATTTCATTGAGAGAGTAAAAGCTTTATATACCTTTTATTCTGTGTACTTTTATTTTCCTTCTAAATGTTTAAAATTTTATTGTCTTGATTCATATATATTTATTAATTCATGTATGCACCTTTTTTAAATTTAGCGGATGGTATAGCACTGGGAGCAGCAGTCACTACTTCACATACAGATATCGAAATGATAGTTTTTACAGCAATAATGTTGCATAAGGTATAAAGAAAATGCTATTATAACAATAATATATACTAATAAAATGGTATTTTTCAAAATTAATTGCATTAATTTTAGAAATATTAAGAAAAATGTAGGTTTGTCTAAAAAGATAAAGCATAGGAATGAAGTATAAAAGTCTTTCAGAAACCACTTCTGTTTATGAGTTAAAATTTCTGCCTGGTAAAGAATTAGGCAATTTTTTTATTATGCATATTTATATGTATAGTCTCAAACAATTTTTAAATCTCTGAAATAATTTTTATGGTCTTCGAGTAATAGCCACTTTAAAAGAAGGATTGTTCAAAGAATTTAGCAGATTACAGCTCATGTACATGTGAGTTTTGTTTCTAGTTTTTCTCATTTTAAATTTTACGTTAAATTTGTGTTGTTTGCACATAAATAACTAAAAAAAAAAAGAAACCTGTACTTTAAGAATTAAAATTTACTGAATAGAAAATTATTGTGAAAGGTAAATGATGAAGAATTGTTTTGTAAAAGAAAAAAAAAAAAAAAAAAAAAAAACTCCTTTGTAAAAACACACTAAAATATTTTATGTAAAAAAAAAAGAAAAAAAAAAGTTGTACAACCATCAGTGAAACTGCTTTCAAAGTAATTTTTATGTTTTTCGTACAAAGGAGAAGAAATAAGTACACTGTTTGAAAAAACTGTTTTCTCTTACTTTGTAATACCTTTCTCTATTCTTCCACATAAACTAAATTAGATCCTACAATGAACCTGGTGAATTCTCGCACAGGCGTGAATTAAATACCAGCACAGAAGAAGGGTGCAAAATAACCCTTTATTAAATCAAACTAATTTCACAGAAAGGCACGGACTTTGTGCATTACAAAAACACAGTTCACTTGCAGCTGTAACTAAATGTAGACTATAATACAAATCAAATCTGAAAAATAAAAGAGTGCAAGAACGCACTTCAATTTACGCTGATGTAAATGGAAAAGCCATTTTACTTTCTCATGCACAATTTAACTTGTGGCCTTGAAACATTATTCAGATCAATATGCTTGTTACCTAGACAAATTTTTTGCCTATATTTCATTCCTCTAAAATGATTTCTTCTTTGTGTTCAGATTTCATTTTCCATCAGTGTATATTATAAATATAATGTATTTTTTATAATTTATTTTCATATTATTGTAAAAAAAATTGTCATTAAATGTATCGTGCTGAATTTAAAAAAAAAATCAAAATATTCTCATCCAAAAATAGATTACAGACATTTGTGGATTACACTATCGTGGATTATCAAAATTCTATCGCATCTTAATTGTATAGAAATACAATATTTGTTTTAATCACCATCTAGTTAAGTGAATTTTTACTTTAAAGACATGAAGAGGAGTTTTGTAAAGTAGAAAATATTTGTATCTGGAAAAGTATTGTTTTATTGTTTAACTTGATTATGTCCTTTAAAAAAAATAAATATTTCTTAAATTAAAATCAAACTTAAAAAATGTAATGTATAGTTAATTAGCCATTTATGAAGGCATAATCCCCTTGTTCGTTTGGGCTAAAACGGCTAAAACATGTAATAATATTTATAATCACTTACATTTTTTTATTCTTTTCTAATGAAAGGTTTAAGATGGATTATTACATTTCTTTGTCATAAGGTGCTTCTTCATTTCATAAATCTTGAAAACAAAAGCATTTGTAATTATTATATGTACCAATTGAAAAAAAAAAGGAATTATTTCAAACATTTCTCAAAATGTTTTTGTCAGATATTTTTTTACTTGCAATGGCAATTTCCATTTACCTGAGTAAAAATGTCCATTGTTATGAGGTGTTACAGTAATTAAAATAGTTTTGCTGTTACTTATTAAACGATAAATATATATGTATGCAGGGTGATTCAAAAGTATCTGATAAAAATGTAAACACACATAGATGGGAGCAAAATAAGCAGATTTTGTAATGAAATGGATGTGCAAAAATCGCACATTGAAGTAGTGTATGGGTTACTGTTGAGTGGTAGGTAAAAACATTCTGCTAGAATAAATAAATTATCTATGTATATAGTTATTTTTTCCTCAAAAAAATGTTTATGCACCAAACCTCAAAGGGTTAAAAGGCATTTAAATAGCTGACACATTACGCTTTGCAGACGATTTTCATATATGTCAGCAAAGGAATTCATTTCATTTTTTACTGTAGGAACAGCAACAGCTGTATTATTCTTCCCTTGGATGGCAACAGCAGCTATTTTCAGCTTTGTGTGACGAAGTTTTTAATTGCTGTTATATTTATTTATTTCAGCGCTTAGTCAAATGAGTCATGCAAGCAAGAAAAAAGTTCATCAGTATTTGGAGGAATATTTAAAATTTAGTTTCATATCCACTGTACACAATGAATGGCCACCTTTTGGTATCTTTTATGCCAACAATGCTTGGCCAATGAATTAATGAAACAAGTTCATCTTGAGATACATTTGAAGGCAAAATATAATGCGAAATATTAATTTAGATTTAAATTACACTGCCCTCCAAAAGTTAAGGAACAGCATGTTTTTTTTAGAATGAAGCAACATAGAAACCAGAAATTCAGAAGACATATTCACTTAAGAGTTCTTTAATGAATGTGACATAAAATGTTTCTAAAGTTCAACACAAACTTAATGAATGTGACATAAAATGTTTCTAAAGCTCAACACAAGCATGAATTGCAACAGAAAATTGCACTCTTGGCAGAGAATTCCAGTTTAGGAGAAACAGTATGTTATAGTTTTTTAAGGAAACATTGGGTGGTAATATTACAAAAATGGGTTCTAATAAGGAATATTTCTACTCCCAGCTGGAATACATCGGTGGCAGTAATGTTCCGTGCTATCATTTAAGTTGTTGGTCAATGAAATGGAAAGCAACAACCAGACATGGAGTAATCCTTGTTCAAGCTCATCTAACGACCTTGGAGGAGGACTTAAAGCAGCAACCTGTCTACCGAAGGTAGTCCCAAAGATGCTCTATCGGATTCAGATCTGGGGATTCAGCTGGCCATTCCAGGCCATTCCATCCACACCATACAGTGATCCTCAAGATATTCTTTAGCAACCTGAGCTCGGTGCAGTCTCGCATTGTCATCCATTAGAAGAAATTCAGGAGCAATAGCAGCGGCATATGGGCGGACCTATTGATTAAGGGTCTCGTCTTGATATCTCACACCAGTCAAAGTTCCTCCATGGAACACATGCAGGTCAGTAGGACCACGAATAGAGATCCCAGCACCAACCATTATTCCACTACCTCTGTAACTGTGTCTTTCCACGATATGGGATTGGTTGTATCTGCTACGTTGTTCCCTCCAGATCAGCTGACAACCTGAATCGCTCTCCAATGTGAGCGTGGATTCGTCTGTGAAGAAAACAGACACTCATTGTTGACTGGTCCAGGAGGTGTGTTCTCTTCTTGCCCAACATACACGGGCACGCCTGTGTCCTTGGGTCAAGGGGACGCAAACAACTGGTCGTCTTGCATAGAGACCTGTATTGTGCATGCATCTGCGCACTGTAGTAGCTGCGATTCTTGTTCCTGTTGCTACTAAATAATTTGCCGTGAGCTGAGGCACAGTAATGTTACTTCTCCTTCGAGCCAAAAGAGCTAAATAATGGTCTTCCACAAGTATTTTAACTCTAGTTATGCCTGGAACATGCCTTCTAGACACAGAATCCTTGGATTCAAACTGATTCCATAGTCGGTGAACCATACTATGAGAGACTTTGAGATGTCTAGCAGCATCAGCTTCTGACATCCCTATTTCCATCCATCCAGTCGCCAGACATCTCAAAGAATCAGGCAAACAACTTCCCCTGGATATTGATAGACTGTCTTGAATATTGCCAGTGAAACTGCTAATAACAATTGAAGAACAACACTCGTGAACAAAACTTACAATTTTTGCCTTTTTCCTCCAACTCATATATAAGTACTCCTTTCTATAAGATAAGAGTAGTAGCTATTGCTTTCGCATATATTTTCTTAAACTTCGTTACTATCATGCATATAAAATGTGAATTTAAATGTTATTGACATTTTTGTAATGGTGAGCCTTCAAAAACTTGCTGTTCTTTAACTTTTAAAGGGCAGTGTATTTTCAAACTTTTTTGAATAAAAAGTAACATTAAAGTTTCTGTTTACGCTAATAAAGCAACTGTTAATCGTACTCTTGAGGCTAGTTATCAAATTTCATTACTCACCTCTAAATCTAGGAAAAGTCATAGTATAGGGGAAAATTTAATCAAACCATCAATACCAGCATTTCTTAAAAATGGTTCTAGAAAAAGATGAGAAAGACATTAAAGCTATGCCATTAAGTACAAATACTGTTGGGAGAAGAATAGATGAAATGAGTGAGGATATTGAAACACAGCTTGTTGAAGAGCTGAAAACGAGAAAATTTTTGATACAGATGGATGAATCAACATTGATAGACAATGAGGCCATACTTACGTAAGATGTATTGATAAAGGTGATTTTACATTTTGCCAAAGGAATGTTCTGTAAATCATTAGAGAGCATCACTACCTCCAAAGATATTTATAGTAAACTAAAACATAACTTAGATGTCAAAAATATACCAATGAAGAATGTAAGTTCTTGTGCTGCAGATGGTGCTCCTAATATGATGGGGAAGAAAGAGGGTTGCTTAAAATTGATGGAAGATGAAAATCCAGAAATGCGTCTAGTGTATTGTGTTATTCATAAGAAAAACCTGGCAGCTAAAAACATTTTGCCTGTTCTATACGAAGTATTAAATTCAGTTATAAAGTTTATCAATGCTATTGAAGCTAGTGCCAAATCTGAACATCTCTTCAAGTTATTTTGTGAAGAACAAAATGAAGACTATATGAGACTTATACTTCACACTGAAGTAAGATGGCTTTCGAAAAGGAACTTCTTGAAAAGATTTATAGAACTATTTGCTACTACAGTCAAAAGTCGTTAATCCGGACCTCAAAGCTACAAACTTTCTGCGCATGCGTCCTGTTGACGCATGCACATAAGCGTGCGCGTAAGACCTTTACGGCTGCGAATATGCGTGTGCGCATACGCATAATACGTTTACGCATGCACGTCTAATGTATAACGGATGGTATAAGCTAAGATAAAATTAACTAATTCAGTTAATGTTGCAGATTGCGTTGTTCCTTAATCTTCGAATTGGATCCGGCTTATTATTTTTTGCAGACTGTTAGAGAAATTTTATAAAAGTAAGCTTGAACTTTCGATTATGTCAAATAGAATTTACGATATATATATTTACTAATATGTAAAGGATCTACAAAGCGAAAGTATTTTTTGAAGTTCATTAAACAAAAAATGGAATTGCTGCAAAAAATGGATAAGTATTTGTTTCTCTCACCATTCCGAAATCTATTTATCAATATCACGCTGCTCTGCGGGTCGAGGGGGGAGAAACGCTGCGGCGCGCAATGAATTGGAAGTTGATCTGTCAGCTCTATCCTTATCTTCAGGGCAGACGTTTTTATTTTATGTGGCTTATAATTCCCTATTAAATGTAGTATTTCATCTCGATGAACTCCGTCTTTGATATGATTTAAATCAAGTTCTTCGTCATTATAATTCGCTTCCGATACTGATTGTTTCCGATAGTGATAGATTCACTTCCGGTTTCATATTTTTAATTTCTGCATGGCATCTTACCACATTTAAACTGATGATCTATAATCCGGAAAAATCGATAATCCGGAATCGCCGAAGTCCCGATGAGTCCTGATTAACGACTTTTGACTGTATTAGTTATTTTTTAAGAGACAGACTTGAAATGAAAAATCTGTTAATGGTTGATGGTAAGATATTTCTGAGTTATTTAGCTGATAATCTTTGAAAACTAAATATATTAAATAAAAAACTTCAAAGAGCAAATAAAACTTTTGTTGATGCAAAAGCGAAGATATTTGGTTTCATTACCTTTATTGAGTTATGTCAAGCATATGTTTATAACACAAATTTTGAAAAGTTTCATTAGCTCCAAAAATGTGAAGAGACTGATTGATACTGCTAGCTATACATGTTATTGCCGATTATCTGAAAATTTTATCAGCTTATTTGAAAGGTTTTTTTTTTTTTTTTTTTTGATTAGAAACAAATTGATTTCCCAACTTGGAGGATGCAGTCATTTGGCTGATATTTCAGATATGCAGTATCAAGAACTCTCAGAAATGCAAAATGATGAGTCAATTAAAGCTTTATTTAATGTAAAAGGAGGGATGGCATGGCTTTCTGAGGAAACCGAAATCAAATATCAAAATGCAACAAAATATGCAAGGGAGCTATCATTACCATTTCCATCTTCATATTTAGCTGAATGTAATGATAGTGATGTAAATTATTTGCTGCTAAAAGATAGAAATCGTCTGAATATAATAAAGCGGGCAGACTTAAGACTGAAGTTAACTAAATTAGAACCTGACATAAAATCTGTTTGCTTCAAGCATCAGGTGCAAGGATCTCACTAAATTTAAATAATAAATAATTACTAAAAATAATATAGAAAAAAAACTTTCATTAAAATTATTCTGTATTTGAATTTCAGTTCTCCGTTATATGTTTTGAAAGTTTACTTACTGTGTTTGCTCACAAATTTCCTAGTGATTTCTACCTAATATCTATTATTAAAAAATGTAATGTTCATGGAAGAAACTATAAATTAAGTTTCTTCCATGAACATTACATTTTTTAATATTAAAAATTATGTATATGCTAGGGGAAACATAAGAAATTTAGAGAGAATTAGGTGGGGCATAGCACAAAAAAGGTTGGGAAACACTGATCTACAGCCTCGGGTATAAATGCATATCAGTGAGCTCTGCATTTGTCTAGAGATGTGTACCACTTGAAATTTGCGAAGAGAATGGTTATTTACACTGGCAACTTCTTACTTCTCAACTGCAACCCTGTAATACCTTAATATATTATTTTAGTTTAGTAGTAGTTAAGCACATGTATATCATTACAAAATCTCCTTATTTTGGTCACCTCTACCTGCCTGTACCTTTTTACCAGATACTTTTTTAATTACCCTATATATTGTATGTTTCAGACTACACAGCTGATTACATTTTGAATGTTTGACTGTAAAACCATAGCACCCCTTTTTAAAGAAACGAATCAAATATGATGCATTTTCAAACTATGACAGTTTTTGTTAAGAAACATTTTTCAGGAGAAAAAGGAGAAAATTCAGTCTTCTGGAGGGTCCTCTATAAAGAAATCTCCAGTTAGTAAACTACTTTTTTATTATCCTACTAAAGATCTCCTAGAAAATATAAAATTCGTTTTATGATATGTGAAAAAAAAATACAAAATCGTATGACTTAAATCGCTTTTACTAGAAAAATAGAATGCCTGCCAATTTAGAGATCATATCAAATTGAATTTTAATAAATATAGATAATTGTGAATCACTCTGCATTTTAATTTCATGATTCTAAAATGCTAAATAATTGAAGATGTTATTTAAGTTTTATAACATTTCTTGCATTGTATCTCGGAGCTTTATAGCTTTGTATGTGTCATAATTTCCAGTACTATATGGTATTTGACATCTTACTTCAATCACATTTTCAACCTCTTAACCTGAATCATTTTGTTTTTTCCTTATACTGTATTTAGAAGTAATTCACATGTACAAGTGTGCTTCTAGTGCATGGCATCGACTGTTCTCAGTTTATGTGGTAATGGTGCACTAATACTTATGTACTTTCCCATTAAACTTTTTTAACAAAAACTGGCACCAAACATTATGATTTAGTGCGAGTGGTGGATAAGCTTGAGATCATAACATACTCATATCTTCATTCTACGTTTTATGTAAGTATTGTATAAATTGATTGCTATTTCTCCTTTTCTTTTTAAGCCCAAAGAGGCAATTTTCCCAGAAAGGCTATTAATTTCGTTTTGTCATTTTGTGTCGATTTACTATAAACGGCGAATCACTTTTCAGATTGTAGCCACTAAATATATTGCCTTGTCTTATAGATAAAGAAATTAAATAATGAAGAATCCGCATTAATGTATATATGTTTCTTCCATTGTGATAAATCAACGGTACTAGAGCCATCAAATTTTGAATAATGTAATCCTCCACCGAATATGGGCATCTGGAAGCCCTAATTTGGAATTTGTTTTATTATTTATTTCATATTTTGTAACACTTTACGGGGAAAGTGTTACAAAATATGAAATTACTGGGAAAACAAAAAAATCCTTTTTATCTCCAGTGTACGAGCCTGGAATTTCAATGATATGCTATCGGAAATTCTAAAGATATGTTCATTTTAAAATTATTTTGCAATATTGCTGTTGAATTGAATTTTATGGTTTAAGAACATGCTATTTAACAAATAAAGGTAACACACAAAATGTTAAAAACATCCCTTTGGGGGGAATCTGAAAGCTTTCAGATTCCCCTCCCCTCCTCTGGATTTTGAAAAATGATTAGAATTTGGGACCTGCCACTTATTTAAGTCTTTTATTTTGCTATGTCTGTAACTTGCATCGGTTCATTATCTAAATAAAGATATGTTTCTTCAAAATATGACTGGAATGGTGCAAGTTTAGTAGCATTTGCTTTAACTTTCATGGTTGATAGGAAAGTATGTAAGTACTGATGCTATCATTTCTTTGAAAATAATTCACTGTGTATTTTCCTTTATTTTTAGCTCCTGAATATATCCTGAAGCTAGTCTAATTGCCATAAAAAATTTATATCTTATTTTTTATGCAGAGCCTAATTAATTTTTCTTAATAAATTCTTATACATTTCTACATAAATTGACTCATTCTGTTTTAGTATTATGCATGTTATCATTAAATTAAGTTTTAAAAAGCGTTTTTTTTTAAACGTATATCACAAGATTGGTCTGTGTTATCATGTCTAAAAATACTTTTTGTATTGAATATTTTTTAAATATAAATATTTGTGTTGTATTTAATTATTCATAGGCTCCTGCTGCATTTGGATTAGTAACTTTTCTAATGCATGAAGGACTTGATCGGGTCAAAATAAGAAAGCATCTTTTAGTGTTTGCTCTTGCTGCTCCAGTTTTAGCTATTCTAACTTATTTTGGTATTAGTCAAGTAAGTATACTTTTAAAAATTGCTGAGTAAACAGATTGTTCTAAACTATTTCAACTATATACAGAGAGGTGTTTCTGCCATGCGTACAAACGTACGGAAGGGATACGTTACTCTAAGAATGAATCAAGATCATATAATAATGCGGGATTGGTAATACGATCATAACACAATAGAGGGTGTTGTTGGGAAACTGGTAACTCATCTGTGCAAGAAAATAGTCATTCAACAACCACCCAAAGAGGTACAAGGATGGAAAGTTTCACAAATGTGGAGTTAGTATATATGCATCTATCATATAGAGCTGCTGTTTATAATGAGCAAGCTACTTTTTGCCTGAACTAGGAGCTCAACTTGATAAGCACGTTCAAACCTCTAGACCAGCGGTTCTCAACCTTTTGACTATCATGTACCATAAAAAAAAATTTTAAACCTTTAGTACCACCACTACAAAGTACTACTACCACAAAGCTCAGATCGCATAAGTTTATGAGTGTTAGAGATAAAACTCAATCAGGATGTCGGGGTTTTAATTTTTGAATTTAATAGTTAAAAATACTTTGCTTCTTTGCATACCATCTATTTTTCTCTTGCGTACACGGCCTGGTTGAGAATCCCTGCTCTAGACTTTTGCATGGCTGCATCAAAGATTATGTGAAATGGATTCCTTCAAGAGACATGCCATTCGTTGAGGATGAATGGTATTGGACCCTTAAATTGAAGAGATGGTGCTTCCTCATGCAGAAGGTACTTCGTGTACCAGTACATGAGCAATTGCTTCTCACTACAGTCTTCTTCAAATCATTGTCTGAAGGAGGGGTCAGCAACCTTTTTTTATTAGGAGGGCATATTTAAAAAATGCATCAGTTTGGCAGTCAACATAGGACAGCTACAAAAATAATAAATATGTAATTATATCAAAATAGATTTAATTAATGTAGATGGTAAAAGCTGTAATGTTCTGAAAATTTTTTTTTGTTATTGTTAATACTCTTGTTAAAAATATTACTATAATATGTTGTTCATAAATGTTGTTAGTCAAGCAAGAGAAGAGCAGATTTTTGTGATTATGCAACTGAAATACGTTGCTAATAGCAATCTGCTGAAATGAACTTTCTTAGTGTGAACCATTGTGTATATCTTTTCATTGCCTCTTAAATGTAAAGAAATGAATGCATACTCTGCTTATAACTCGACATATAAATTCATAAAATTACAAATTTATGTACAAACAGAAGTTACTGATGTAAAGCGTAGCACACCTTGGTTGGAGAGTATATGAAGGTAATGGGGGCAGAAAACAGTTTTCTCTACTGTATGCAGAATCAGATGCTTTATGCAGTTGAAAATTGGTTCATTTAGTTATTTAATGTTATCTAGATTTCACCAAGATTCAGTTTTTGTCAAAAGTTCAATTGTGCAGTTCATACAGTTGTTAAAATACTGAAAATAAAATAAGAGACTTACTAAAAACATACATTACCGTTATAAGTATTTGCTGTCCAAAATCTAAAATCTGGAATTTAGATATTTGTATAGCAGGCAATTTAAAATTGTTTCGCGGGCACCATATCACTGGCTCTAAGTCTGAAGGATCTGGAACTTAAACCTATACCTTGAATAGGGCATACAGGTACCGATGTAAAGTTTCATTTGTTTAATGGTGCCCACAGAAAAGTATGGTAGATTCTCTTTTCCCAAGGAAGTAAACGATGCATGTTTCAAGGGAAAGTTGCTGCAGTGATCATAATTTGCAAGTTGGGTGGTCTGGAATTGTGTTCTTATATCTCTTGCCTGTTTATCTAGATAGGCAGTGTTATAAGAATTTTGAACTTGCTCAAAGTATTGAATGGATTGCAGATTCAGCAGTCTCTGTGACATAATATGTGGTTCCAACATTATGTAACCTCAGCCCATTTCAGCCAGTGGATCAGGTGTGATGGTCCCATTCATGCAGAGTTGTAGCTAGGGTTTTCAGCGCCCAGAGACAACTGAAAATTTCGCGTCCCCTACTGCTTGCTAAGGATGGAAAACATTTAATTCTAAAATGTCGTAACATCAGTTTGGCGCCCCTTGGATTCTGCGCTCGGGGACAGATGCCCCCTTGCCCCCCTCTAGCTATGCCCCTGCATTCATGGGCATGCACTATCACTAAATCTATTCACCCTACACTTCTCTCCTTTTTTTTTTTTTTTTTTTTTTTAGCCGAAGGGTCAATTTAATCAGAAGGGCTATTAATTTCGTTTTGGCATTTTGCGTTGATTCACTATAAATGAGGAATCCCTTTTTTTAATTGTTGCCACCAAATATTAGAGCCCTGTATTATATTTAAAGAAATTAAATAATGAAGAATCTGCATAAATGTATGTATGTTTCTCGCATTGTGATAAAGCAATGGTACCGAGAGCCACCAAATTTGGAATAACGCCTCCACCCCAATACGGGCATCTACACTGGTTATCATAAATTAAGGAAAAATCACAAAAATGACGATTACTGAAAAAGTTACATGTAGAATTTAATGAAACTTACCCACAATATACAACACATAGTAGGGTATCAAATAACATAAAAAGAAATTACCAGATAAATGTGTTAGTATAGAAATTAGCACATGTATAAAATGAACAAATCGAAGGTGTCAGTTTGCTATAGGAAACGGACCTTCAGTATGGAATATCATCTCCTCTAGAAGCAATACAGCACATACAGCGATGTGTGATGCTTTTAATTATGCAGTCTATCACTTCCATAGGAAGCGAGAGCCATTGCTCTTGCAAAGTGGTTGCAAGTGCGACAAGGGCCTGAGTGGGCGGATTGAAAGCAGCTAGACGTCTCCTTAAGCATTCCAAACGTGCTCGATAGGATTCAAGTCCGGGGATCGAGCTGGCCACTCCATGCACATAATTGTTTCCTGTTGAAGATAATCATCTAAGATGCGAGCCCTGTGCGGTCTTGCATTGTCGTCCTGTAACAGGAAAGCATCTCCTATAGCCCCGGCATATGGGTGCACATAAACATCAAGGAGGTCATCTCTATAAACATAAGCATTCACGGTTCCCCTTGGAAAGACATGGAGGTCTGTGTGTCTGGCCAAAGAGATGCCACCCCAAACACAGGAAACTGCCTCTTCCTTATGCATCTCTTTCACTGTTTGAACACTTTTCACTGTTTTTTTTTTTTTCAGATGTTTGACAGGATGATAACGGGTTCCAGATTATCTCCATATCAAATAACACTTACTATTGCTTTCTTGACTAAACCTGTACTCATCCGTTAAGAGAGCATCCCTCCATTGATCAGGTGTCTAGTGGAGATGTGGTCGAGCCAACTGCAAACGGTCTCTCCTATGGCGTGACGTGAAAGGCACACAAATGGCTGGTCGCCTCGCATACAGACCACCTTCGTGAAGCCTTCTACGCACAGTTGATGTTGACACCAACCTTCCGGTGGCTGCAGCAAGGAAGGATCTAAGAAGAATCGGAGTAGCGGTTCTATTCTTGCATGCACATAATGTCAAATATTGGTTACCGACGTTCGTTGTAGCAGTTGGCCGACCTTGGCTGAACCTCCTAGATACCGAATCTGTTGTTTGAAATTGCCTCCAAAGTCTATGAACAACAGAAGGACTCACATTTAGCCATCTGGCCACTTCTGTTTGACTTTGTCCTGCCTCTAGTCTCCCAATAGCTCTCCATCATAGTTCTGCAGGCAAATGATACCTGGAGGTCATTGTAACGAATTGGCTATCTCGGATTTCTGATGTTACTATCACAGTGAAATATGTGGGTTTGCTCTCAAACATGGACTTTAATGCTCCTCGCAGATGACGTATTCCGATCACAATGCCACTAATTTGCATATTGCAGTTTTACTCAGCTACTCTTACTTGGGAACATATTAACATTTTACATGGTTTGTCTTATTTTTGAGGGAGTTATCGCTATTTTTGTGATTTTTCCTTAATTTATGATAACCAGTGTAGAAGCCCAAATTTGGAATTTGTTTTATTATCTACTAGCCGCTGCGTGGCCAGCCTTTGTCTGACTTTTAAATGTACCAGAATGCCTAAAGGGAACACCAAACATTAAATTTAAATACTGCACAGTTTTACCTGCAGGAAAACTTTATAAAAATATATATATAAAAAAAATTACAATGAAATAAGCAATATCCCTTAGTACAAATATTAATTATTCTAATAAATAAATTAATCAACTTCCTATTGCAAATTTTTTTAAAAATTCAAATGGTATAAAGGAAGTTAAAAATTTTGTTTTCTAAAAAAAATCATGCAAAACTTATCATATAACTAGCAGCTACGCTGCCAGCCTTCATCTACCTTTTAAATGTACCGTAAAAATGCCTGAAGGGAACATCAAACGTTAAATTTAAAAACTGTGCAGAATTTTACTCTGCTGAAAACTTTCGGAAAAAAACACAAATTTAAAAAAAAAATATATATATTACTTATAAAAAAATTAACCAACTTTTCGTTGAAGAAAAAAAATCGTGCAAAACTTTTCAATATCTTACAAACAGTAAAATAAACAAAAAATAACGTGAAAGAAACTCAGAAAACAAAAAATTCCACGCAGAATTTTACTCTGCAGAACAACTTTATCAAAAAAATGACAGTGAAATATGGCAATCTCTTAAAAACAGTGACATAAGAAATACGATGAAAATTGTTGCCAAACCCATATTTCTAAAAGAATGAAACTATTCAAAAAGAGTCAATTTCATCAAAAATCTGAATGAAACACAATGAAATAAGCAATGTCCCTTAATACAAATATTAATTATCCTAATAAATAAATTAACCAAATTCCCTTTGCAAAATCTTAAGAACTCAAATAGTATAAAGGAGGTTAATAACTTTGTTTCCTAAAAAAATCAGTCAAAACTATTCAATATCTTAAAAACAGTGAAATGAGCAATAAATAAAATAAAGGAATGCAAAAAACAAAAAATTCTGAAAAGCAAAGTATAATTAATGATAT